CTGGAAAACAGGCCGATCTCCAGCATCTATAAACAAAGGGTGTTGATGGAAGCAGCACAGCTGATATGTGTTGCAAGATTTTAAATTTTAGTTTTAGACATTGGGGGCTCCAGGCCGGACCAGTTTCACAGTAAAGTCCAGTGATTTTTTTATTTTATATTCAAATATTTCAAACTTGAAAGATGATGATATGTGAGTTTTTTTTCATCTTAACACAGGAAACATGACTGAGACTTTAAATGAGAAATTGCTAAATGACAGCAGAATAATCAGCCCAACTTTAAATTTGCTTTTTATATTTAACTAAATCGGTTGAGATCGCCTTTACTTTTTAAAAAAGACTTTAAGAATGTCCTTTGTTCACTAAATTCCAGTAATGCAAATGTAAAATACCTTGTCAACATCATTTTTCTACTGTGAAAGGAGCAGAGTGCTGTGATCATGGTGCTTCGTTTACAGCAAGACTTCAAACTGTTTCTCTCTCTGCTTTAGCAACACTGATGTTGACAGAGATGTCAAAAAGTATCTGGGGTAAAAAAAAAAAAAAAAAGCAAAACATGTCAAACTGTAATTTTCCAACTGTTTCTAGATCAGAAACGTTACTATCTTTAGAGCCCACTTGTGGATAAGCTTTGGGAATTTTTCATCACTGTAATATTTCATTAAACACAACTGCAACCCATTTTGGAAATTTAAAGTATAATAGTGGGTCTTTCTGACATTGCTATAAGTTCAATTGTGTGATGATCACTGTAGAGGTAAGAAAAAAGTCTGTAGAGTTAATTGAAAAAGTGCATATAAAGAAATATGCATTTAAAATCAGATTAGTAAATAATCCCTTTAACAGAGATGTGAAAACATGTATCTCCAGTATTGTGTAACGCTGGATTTCTTTCCGTTTTAATATAGAATATTTTTCAGGAAGTTCCAGCTTCCCTTTTGTTGATGCCGTAAGACAGTCAATGGGGAAATGTTAATCGGGGTTTTAGTTCCAGTTCCAGCACATTCCATGTTTATGTATGATGAAGAATGAATCTGGGTATGTATTTTTATTCTAAGTACCATCAGCATATGAAAACTCTTTTTGAAATCACAACGTCCAGAGACGAGCTGCTGCTCAGAAGATCCCTGCGGTGACAACCATGAATTTGCCGTCCAGAGAGGAGTGTGAAGGGTGGGACCAGGTGAAAGTGGCTCTTTTTATGTGTAAGGTGAGTTTATGAAAAAAAGGACATAAAATATAAGTAGCTAATTGGAGGAAGCATTTTTGACTCAATAATTCATTGTTCAAGGGTTAATGCTGCGGATCAGGTAGCTTACAGGAAGTGTTACTGAATTAAATTCTTTGTGATTACCATCAGAATAATATGCAAGACTGTGCTGCAACTGTGACCAGATTAAAAATTGATGGAGTCCGACTTCTGGTAAGTCAGAATCCTTTTTTATTATTCTTGCTTGAATTCTGCAGAAATGAATTTTATCTCACAGGTGGTGAAATACATTCATATATTCAGGGCTGTATTTTATTTTACATAAAAGCTAACAAATCTTCTTAACCTGCTTCATAAAATTTTAAATAACCTTACTTTTGTGTGTTTTCCAATTTGTTTTCGACTTTATTTAACAAAACAGAAGAGCATACAGTAGTTCGCTGTCAGTGTGAATCCAAACGAGTAGAGAAACAGGTTCCACATTGCATGACATGAATGATGTGAACCCAGTTGCTTGCACTACTTCCCACACTTTGACCTTCCTCCTACAGATATCAGTAAATCTGTTGTAACTTCTGCTTTTAGAATCACTGTCCTGACTTTGGTTACACTTATTTTAATCAAATGTCAAAAACTATTGGAGTTTAAAGAAACAACTTTAACTGAACCTTTCTGTTTGCTGAATTAAGGGGGGGGGGGGGAATTTGACATAAACTGTTTTGTATTTGTAGGATCTATTTGCAATTGTATCTGTAAAATTGTTATAAAACTATTAATCCTTAATAATGTGGAATGCCAAAACAATTATACCACCTTAAAGATTTATACATTTTCTGGCATTAGAAGCACAGGTTTGATTACATTAGATTAAGATTTAATGAGAGACCAACACAAGCTATGAAATGAAAGGAAAATATGTTTTTTTTTTCAAAGGTACACATTTTGATAAGGTCAATAAGAATCTGTAAACTGTGGTATGCAGTGTTTTCAGAAACCCTTAATCAATATTCTGTAGTAACCTTTCTTTGCAAACTAAACAACTGCAGGTCTTTGGGGGCATGTCTGTTTATAGCTTTTGCAAAAAATAGCTCAAGATCGTTAGAACTGGATGGGGAACATCAGGAATATACATTTCTAGGCCTTGCACCCGTCTCTTGAATTCATTTAGGTCTGGACTTTGAGTAGGCCATTTTAACAAATTGATATTCTGAACCTAAAGCCGGGCGTACACTGTGCAATTTTGGGGCAATTTTCCAGTCGTGCGAGAATCTTTCAATTGAGCTGACTTTCAGCCTGATCGTGCGTCGTGAGTCGCGGGGGTAAAGAGTGGCTATCAGCCTCTCATGACCACCTCCAGTTCATGGATTGTTTGATTTTCTCCTGACCTTGTGGGCAAATCGCTCAGTGGGCAAACAAGGATTCTTCTTTTTCTTCTTCCTCTCAGAAGCATGGCGGTGCAATGAGTGAAATGGAGTTCTTTCTGTAAAATTGACAGACCGTAGTAGCCACGTTTGCTCCAAATTTGTCCAAATACGTTGTCGCCTTTTCTTTTTAGGGCTTTCAGCACAAATTTGGACAAATTGCCAAGGCAGTGTGTTTCAATTTAGTGAGCTTCATATTCCTCTTCTATTTGTTTGGCTTCCAGATAGACGAGTCAGAGCAGCTATATCTCACTGCGGAGCTGAGTCCGAGCGATTTATGTGCAGCACGAGCATCGTGCATCTGCACATCGCACATATCCTGCGGTTTAGTCGTACAGTGTGAGCCGTAGCTGCGTGTAACAATTGAAAAAATCGCACAGTGTACCCCCGGTTTAAACCAGTCTGTGTTAGCTCTGGCTGGATATTTATTGAATACAACAATACAATTCATTTTTTTTACAAGGCATTAAAAAAAAAAACACTACTGACCAAAGCACTGTACATTAATAGAAGTGAAGTAAGACAAACTAATAAAGCATCAGAAGAATAATTCTAATAAATACTTGGGTTTTCTTTGGCAGTGTTTTCAACAAAGTTTTGATCTCAGTCTTTTGCATAGTGG